CAACAACATAAAATGCAATTTTTTACCACCTAAATTAAAAAAAATCTATAAGCATGTTTTGTATGCATAAATATAAATCCCTAATTTGTTCTTTAGAAAACATACTTATTTACTCGAGAATGAAATGTGTAAGGCTGTTGAATTTAGTTACCTTGGTAACATCTGGAGTGAGCTACTCCATCTAAAAATACATCTCCTTCATTGTTTATATTGTATATGGAAATTGTAATTAACCGACATTTATGCGTCTTTCCAGGAAGTGATAATGTTCATCTTACCTGAAAATGAATAAATGATACACTGTTCAGTAGGTATAGGTGGTAATTTCAGCCTGAAAAAATACATATAGGATGATTTTTAATTATAATAGAAATTGGATTTGCATTATGCTAACATGAATTTGATTTAAAATGTACTACATTTTACCACTATTCTTTATTGATAAAAATTTCTTTCACTATACTTCTAAAAGGATTCTAGTATGAAAAACTAGTAAATCATATTTTTCTCACAAATTAAATAATTGTATTAAAATTTTTCCACTGTACTTTTCTTTAAATTTTCTTGGAAAGAAATAGCTAACAATCAGAAACAGTTTATTTTAAAAACTTCAATCAGTGTGAAAAAGCATGTACAGTTCTAGGTTACGTGTACAAATAAGTTCTATTTTCAACAACACTAGACATTTCATATTAAACGATTGTTTTTGATATTTTTACATCAATAGCTGTGTAGACTTTGTTATGTCATTTATTGCCAGTTTCTGAAATTTTCTGAGTATTTTTCCTCTGTAACATAAACTCCATTCTTAAATGGAAATATAAAATGAATAATGCAATAGTTTCATGATAGGAACATGCTTTAATTTTTTCACAAAATAGTTTTGAAAATCACTTTTAAGCTAGGCTCTAGTGCCTAATAACTTTATACCAGTTAACACCTGTAGCCTAACAACCTAACTGCTCAAGAGGCTGAGTACAGGAAGATAGTGATTTTAAGACAGCTTGTGCAAAAAGTTTTTGAGATCTGTTTCCATAGAAAAATCTGGGCATGGTGGAGCACTCCTGTCATCCCAGCTATGGTTAAAAATATAACTAGATGACTGATCTAGGCCAGCCTTGGGAAAAGACAAGACCCTATCTAAAAAACTAACCCAAACAAAAAGGCTGGAGGTGTGGCTCAGGTGATATAGTACCTACCTGGCAAGCTTGAAGCCCTAAGTTCAAACCTAAGTACCAAAAACATACAACTTAAAAATGTATTTTGTTGAAAATAAAATGAAATGCCATTTGATTTTGTTTCTGACCAAGGCTTTGATATTCATTCTGCACTCTTGCCTCTTCTATGTCCAATTTTATCTATCTTAATTTTATTTGAGGTACTCTAGATTGGACCCATGGTAGTACACATGCAGGAAAGCACTGTACTACCTGAGACCACTCCAGGCTTTTGGTTTGCATATGCATACATTACGTATATCTATGCACACATGTATGTGTGTATGTATGTATGCATGCATGCATGCATGAAAGCATACATGCATGTATATATGTGCAGACATATATAGATATAGATATATTGGATATAGGGTTTTACTAATGTTGCCTGAGCTGGCTTTGAACTTAAGAGCTTCCTTTCTTGCTAATACAGTAGCTGGAATCCAGTTGGTGGTTCCCCCAATCTCGACACCACAAGTTTCCCTGCTTTCTTTTGCAGTATGGCTCTGCTATTTCAGTTTCAGTTTTCAGATATGCCCACTTAGGTTACTTTGAAATCTGTTCACCTCTCCAATATCACTGTGTTCCCTTCAAACCATTTACCTCAGCAGAGACAGAGTCATTGTTTTAACAGAAAAGTTTTTTGCCAGATGCGGTTTGTGGATGCCCACCACTCATGAGAGTGAGTAAGGAAGAGTGCCAGTTTGAAATTACTTAGTCTACCCAGTGAGACTGGTCTGGGGGAATGTTTATACACTATATGTATATAAATGTATATACTTACATATATACTATATATATTTCATTATATATAATATATAATATACTTTATTATGTATATAATTACATGTGTTATATATTACATATTTTATATAATGTTTTATATAGACTAAAATATATATATAATATTTAACATGTAATTATATATTATATATGCTTATATGTTTATATATTATATATTATACATGCTCTTATATATCATATTATAATCATATCATGTAATATGTAGCATATTTATTATATGTAATACATTATTATAATTCTATAATATACAATACATATTATATTATAGTGTATAGTATATAGTATATATTATTATGTATTAAAATATATACTAATATAGAATAATATATAATACATATTGTAATATATACTATTATATACCATATATATATATATACATATATATATATATATACACCAAATATGTACTAGATATATTTGCTCTTGTCTACTCAGCTTAAATTCGAAGATCCCTGAAATGCAAAAAAAGTTCTTAAGTAGTCTTTTTCCTCCTGTTTTTTTCTTGGTTCTACTGTAGACTGTCTCATACAGAGAGTCTACAACTTGAACCACACCCTCAGGCATGTATGTGTGTGTGTGTGTGTGTGTGTGTGTGTGTGTGTGTGTGTGTGTGTGTGTGTGTGTGTGTGTGTGTGTGTGTGTGTGCGCGCGCGCGCGCGCACACGCGCGCGCACATGCTTATTTTTCAGGTAAGGTTTTGTATTTCAACTCCCATGTTTTTTCCAGACGCTGACAGTCAGTTACTATCGATTACTATGCCTTTAGCCTAGTTGAAGTCACAGGCTTTCACCCCCCCACCCTGCTTCTTGACTGAGATGGGGTATAACTGCATTGCCCTGATGGCCTTCGTCTGCCATCCTCCCACTCTCTACTTCCTGAGGGGGCCAGTGGTGATTCTCTCCCTTCCTAGTTTATCTTTGTCATTCTCTTCTAGGTGCTCAGTACTCTAATTTCACTTCTCACTTGCCCTCATGTTCGCTTATCTGTGACTTCACAGGGGTCTCTCTGTGGTCTCTTTTTCTCTGGTCCCCAAATTCTCCCTCTCCTGAAGCCTGGCTGAGGCTCAATTATCATAGATATTGAACTGTTATCATGTGTTTTGGAGTTCTTCTCTCATGCCTTTATTCCTCATACTTGATCACAACCTTTTGATTCTGGTATTACCTGCATGTTTATTTTTCTTTGCCTCTTAACTATCTGTGAGCTCATTCAATGCAGAATCTCTAAAGTCCAGATATTTAAGTCCATATTGGCCACAGGTAATCCTTAATAAAAGTTTACTGAAAACTGAACAGCTGGGAGCTGGTGGCTCATGCCCGTAATCCTAGCTACTCAGGAGGCTGAGATCTGAGGATCACGATACAAAGCCAGCCTGGGCAGGAAAGTCTCTAAGACTCTTATCTCCGATTAACCACTAGTAAACCAGAAGTGGCACTGTAGTTCAAGTGGTAGAGTTTTCTCTTTTTGCTGAAGAGCTTAGGGACAGCACCCAGGCCCAGAATTCAAGCTCCATAACTGACAAAAGAAAAAAGAAAAAAAAAATGAATGAAAGGTGTAACTCTTTTAGAATTTAAACATTTATTTTTATTAATGTAATTAATTAGAGGGTCTGAAATCTTTCCTCGTACCCTAAACAATACTGCCTACTGGATGCTATTAGGAAATGAACAAAAACATCACAACTTTTATCCTTCTCCACTTATAGCCACATGGTTTCTTAAAGGAAACCATTTTCCCATCTTGCTGTGTCAGGACACTTTATTAGTAATGTATTTTTTATTTTCATAAATTAACATCATATAGATAAAATATGAAATCAATTACAAAAATAGAATGATATTGTTTTAGGTAAACTTGTCTATTTTCTTTTTACAAGCTTGTGAAAAAATTGGCTCATATTTTCCTATATATTACAATGCAGTGTGAAGAATACCTTAATATTGTAGCCAGTAAAATATTGATTGACCAGGTATACCATTTTTGTTAATTTCTGTTTTGTAAATGTTTGCTATTCTAATTAGCACGGAAAAGCCACACCATTACAAACTTTTTAGGCTTAAAAGGCCAAGTAGGTTATAAACTGAATTAAACTTTAGGAATGCAGTTAATAATTTTGACACATATTCATTACTCATAATTATTGTACCCTTGTGCAATAATGGGTGATACTTCTTTATAATCAGTTTTCACCATTGGGAAATTACCATTAGCATTAACTGGGGAAAAATAAAGTCTGTTTGCCAAGTAATTATCATAGGGAAGCCAAAGGAGGATATTTGCAGGAGAGGATCACAAAGGCTCAATAGCTATGTGTATAAGATCATATAAAATGATACCCAAATGATCTTCAAGAAATGGAACCAATAATTTTTGCTTATTTTGTTATGATTTTTTATCTCCTTTGTCATTGTCTTTGTTTTCTGTACTTTTTGTCTTATGTGTAAGTTTACATCTTTTGGGGAGGATGAGGGGAGCACAGAAATGCATAAATACAACAATGAATAAATATGGCAGTGATACTAGACACTTTGTTGAAAATTCACTGTACAATGTGTAAGGGAGATACGTTGAGAAGGAAAAAACAAGGGAAGAAGTGATAATGTTCACAAAAAAATGTACTCATTACATAACTGTAACTGTAACCTCTCAATACATCATCTTCACAATAACAATAAATAGTTTTACTCTATTAAACTTTCTCTACTTAGAGATTGCATTTGATGTAGCACCATTGTTTTTGTAGCTTTATCTTCTTCATATTACTTTATTTCATTTCTTGATCTTCATTGTGCCTTCTAAATTATTAAAAAAAATCGTTCCTATTTTACAAGGACTATGGAGTAGGCTAAATTGCATATTATATGTTTTAAAATCCGTGGCAAAATGCAATACATACACTAAGAGCTTGGTAAGTGTAAGTTGAGGTAGAAATTGAGTGACATATTTATTAAAATGGACATAAATTTTTGTTTCCAACAGATGATTCTGCTGCAGAGAGTTTTAATGGCAATGAGACTCTGGGGCACAGTTCAGTGGCTTCAGGGGGAACGCAGGGCAGGGAGACAGGAGACTCCAACAGCGATGGCAAGGCTGTGCTGGAACGGGATGAACAGCCACTGAACTTGAGTGACAGTCCCCTGTCTGCGCAGCTGACTTCGGAATACAGAATAGATGATCACGGCAGTAATGGGAAAAACAAATACAAGAATCTTCTAATTTCTGACCTCAAGATGGAACGAGAGGCTAGAGAAAATGGAAGCAAGGTAAGCTCATATTGAGATTCTCAAGGCAATTTGTAAGTTAGTCTGGAAGATCAAAATGATATATCGATATGTCTACAAGTGACAAAAATTATTGCCAATATAATTTTTTAAACAAATTCCTGAGCTGGACACTGATGGCTCACACCTGTAATCCTAGCTACTCAGGAGGCTGAGATCTGAGGATCACGGTTCCATGTTAGCACAAGCAGAAAAGTCTGTGAGACTCCAAGTAAAAAGCCAAGTGAGAGCGTGACGCCTTATGTTCAAGCTCTAGAGCTTGTTTAAGTTTAAGTTGTTTAAATAGGGATACAGGTGGACCCATTGCAACAATGAGATGTACAAGATGTTATGTCAAAAAATGAACATTACAACTTTGGTGCAAGAGGGGCAGAACAGGAAGTGATGGTAAGGGGAAACAAAGGAGGAGGCAACAATGCTTGATAAATGCACTCATTACCTTGCCCATGTAATTGTAACCCCTCTGTACAATTAAAAAAATTAATTAACCCACTCAGCAATCCCACTTTTGGGCATTTACCCAAATGACCACAAACAAGACCATACTAAAGCTACCAGCACAACTATGTTTATTGCAGCATTATTTACCATAGCTAAGATATGGAACCAACCCAGATGCCCCTCAGTAGATGAATGGATCAAGAAAATGTGGTCTATATACACAATGGAATTCTATGCCTCCATCAGAAAGAATGGCATTGCTCTATTTGTTAGGAAATGGAAAGACTTGGAAAAAATTATATTAAGTGAAGTAAGCCAGGCCCAAAGGAACATAGGTCCCATGGTTTCCCTTATTTGCAATAACTAGCATATGTCTGAGACAAGCAGAAACAATCAGATAAGTTGATGTTAGGGGAATGAACCATAAGATAAGGACTCAAATGATTTTTCTTTCTTGCTATTGTTTCTAACATATTTATAAGATGATTTCTTTGTTGCTTTGTATGTCCCCCCACACACACAGTATAACCCCTGTTTTCACTGTATTTGGTGTTGGTATAATTTCTGGAGGGGAAGGGAGAAAACAAAATGTTTAAATAGGGATACAGGTGGACCCATTGCAGCAATGAGATGTACAAGACATTATGTCGAAAAACCAACTTTATAACTTTGGCAGCCGTGACGGGGCGGGGTTGGGGGGAGACACGCGGTGAGGGGTGGAAAGGGGAAACAAAGAAGGAGGTAACAATGCTTGATAAGAAATGTACTCATTACCTTGCTCATGTAATTGTAACCCCTTTGTAAGGTATTTTCACAATAGAACATATTGAAATAAAAAATTAACCCAAATAATTAATTAAAATAAATAAAAATTCTAACAATAAGTTACCAAGACTTCATAAATGTATATATGTTGTGCCCCCCCATTGTAATACCCAAAACAATAGCTTACAAAACGGATTATGTCTAAAACTTTTGGTATTTTTTGATAAAATTATTTGATTTAATATATTTCATTTATATAATCTACTTATGTCTGTGTTTGGGAATTTGCCCAGCTCAGGTGTGAACAGTCCATCAAAAGCACACAATTTTGAGCTATGAAAAGATCACTAGGTTGATTCTCTAGATTGGATAGGTGTACATAGCAATAAAGTTTTGATTAAATTGTCTAGTTTGCTTTTGAGAACTTCAGGCAGTAATTTACTTAACAGATCCCAGGGTCAGTGTCTGTGTCATAGATGAAATATGTGGATGAAATATCTACCTGGAAGAGAGAATTTTTTTTATCACACATGCAAAAGACAATAACATGTCTCAGACATTAAATTTCTATGTTCTTTATATTAAACTAAATTGTACCCTTCCATTCTCATTTTCTTATTTAAAAATGTAAGCTTAAATTTCTACTAATTTGAAATTACCCCTGAGGATCATTTTGTTCTGTAAGTTTATAAAGAATGTGGGCATTCCTTGCCTTTCTTCAGCTTGTATTATATTCTTGTTTTTAACATAGGTCTTAAAAGCAAAATGGCTTAATCTGGATCAATTTCCAAATTTGCTTCAGGACTCTGCTTCCTAAATTGGCTTTAGCTAAATCTCCTTGCCTGCAGGTGTGTTGATTTATCCTTTTTTAACAAAGTCACCAGACAAGATCAGACAATTAGGCATTTCTGCCTGAGGGAGGTTGCTCCAGCTTTTGCTGGTGTAACTGGACAAATACCATCTTCATTGGTTTAAAGTCACATCACACAGACCCAAAAGATTATGTATGCACTAACAGGATCTGAATTTCTACATATACTAGAAGAAACAAAGTAACATGTTATCTTGTATTTTGTATTATCTTGTCTTTGTCAGCATTAATCATGAAATGTCTTTCTTTGACATCAATAGCTTTTGGAAGGCAGCTATGCTAACCACTATACCACCAACGCCCGCGATCCATAGCTTTTGTTGGCCACTATCAAGTCTGAATTATAACCTAATTTTGGGCTTGTCCATACACATTAGCTTGTTCAGCTGAAACACCTACCATGTCTCCAGTAGCTTTTCCAGAGCTACTTTCATCACTCTGAAGCTCCGTGACATTTCCCAATTCATTTTTACTTTTCTAATAAAATCACCATGATAACTAGTTTGAAAAGCTTTTCTATGTCTTTTGGTATGGTGTTTGGAATCAAATTACTGACCATGTCCTTCATGTCACTGTCTATACTTTTTGCCTTACCCTTTTCTATTTTTTGGACTTGTTGACCCTGCTTAGACTGAGAATGAGAGGCTTTCCATAGCTGATTGTTGCATTCCTTTTAGTTAAACAAATCCAGAACAGACCAACTGATAACCATTGACAATCTTAATGCCAACATAAATTTTGTTTGTAGTCTGATATTTTTTTTAACTGTGGAACAGATTATTTTTAATGGATAAGATCAATACCATGGAAGTTTGGTAGGTGTTTCCCTGAAGATCCTCAATAATTTCCTAAATTCAACCTCATCATTTGGTAGATGAGGAAGGCTTGTTTCAAATACCCAAGCTTGTGGCCACTGCAACCTTCATGAAAGTTTGATTCCCTGAATCCTTGTTACTTCTGTCTCTCCAATATTTCTTGTACTGAACATAGCCAGTGCTGTTACATCATTTCCAGTTTTCTGCAGAAATCAACCATTTTTCCTTGGTTTTAATTATAGTTTTGAAAAATAAAAAGGAAATTTATCAGTAGAAAAGATTTTCTTTTTTTTTTTTTTGTAAGTACAGACATTGTTTTTGGGTTCAAACATGAAGAGTTCAAGTATGAAAGTGGTATTTCTGTGGAAGTGAGCGTCCACATGTGCTTTCTAGAGGAAATGTCTTAAGCTTTGGTAGAAGTGTAAGATTGCCATTTTTTGTCTAGGAGTCTCTTGCGTGACGCTGTGAAGGGAAGAAGCTTGGCTTGTGCGTGTGCTGCTGTCCATTCTGAGCTGTGTATTATTGGAGGAAAAAAAATCATCAGTATTGCACAAGATAAACATTTTGGCACTAATTTATTGTTCATCTACTTTCTGAAGGGTTCTACATAGAAGGAACTACAGTATTAAGCAAAACTATCCAAATGAATAAAGAAGGTTCCTCTCCAAAGTCCAGCAGAAAAGAAAGACAAACTTGTGATCTAAATCAAGAAGTGATACACTGGGTAGAGTGGCAGGTAGAATGAAGGACAGAGCTATACACTTACAGAACTGTAAGATTCACAGGGAGAACTAGAGAGAGGTGAGTGCTAGAGGGCAAGGAGGGGCTATTACAATTAGGAAGATCGTATATTGGGGGATTAGGCACATTGTGAACATGTGTTTATGAGCATGCCTGTCTGGCATGGATATTTGCAGGGAATTTAGAATCGCTCCCATGGAAAAGATGTGTGGTGAAATGAAATACAAAATAGCTCCAGCAATAAGGGCTTTAGGCTATTTTCAATTTTGGATTATGTTCAGTAATGTTAACTATAAAGTTGTATTTAGTTTGGAATTTCAGGAAAATTATTCATACCTAAATTGTAGGAGATAAATAAGATAGGATCAGGGGATGGGTTTGGGGGGCAGACGGGGCAGAAATTTGGTCAAGTAGCTACTATGGCAACTCACAGGGAAAATGATAATTGGTATTAATTACATGCCAATGAGAACAGAAAGCAGGTTATAAAAAATATAAATAACCAAGTTACATTTTTATTTTTTACATTGTATTTGCAAAAGCAGCACATGGCTTAGAAATCCCTTTCATATTAAAATATACTATCAATCTACTTTTTTAAAAAGGATGTACATTCCAAGAGTGTAGTGATGTTGACTTCCTTGTAAGTCCCTCCCTAACTACTTTCAACAGGTCTAACACTAGTTTAAAATCTGATGCACACTAGTTTTCCAACAAATATTTTCACTGATTGTAGGAAATAAGATATAGGCCATTCCTGATTGACCCCAAAAGTTTGGCTTGGTTTCATGGCTGTGAAAGGATCCTCTTTACCAAGATTTAGAATGAGAAAAATTTGAGCAAGCAGGATTTGTGCAGCAGGCATTGGGGCATTAGCCTGTTCAGAAAACTCATATGGGATAGTAAAATAGATATTTGAAAGGCTTTAGAATGGAAGTGTTGCTCAAAGGAATTGTGGCTGATACATTTCCCCTGGGGAGATCATAGACTCAGGAGATGAGAGACTTGACATGTTCACCATCCTCCTGAAGGTAGGACTATTAGAGATAAAGAAACATTTGGGGGCTGGGAAGGTGGCTCAGTGGTAGAGTGCTTGCCTTGCATGGATGAGGCCCTGGGTTAGATTCCTCAATACCACATAAGCAGAAAAAGTGAGAAGTGGCACTGTGGCTCAAGTGGTAGGGCACTAACCTTGAGCTGAAGAGCTGAGGGACAGTGGCCAGGCCCAGAGTTCAGGCTCCATGATTGACCAAAGGAAGGAAGGAAAGAAAGAAAGGAAAGAAGGAAGGAAGGTAGGAAGGAAGGAAGGAAGGAAACATTTGAAGACTTGGCGGAAAATTGAATTAGAG